GAGAGAGAGAGAGATGGGAGGGGGTGGTTCTATTTTACCTACTTGAATGTATGCTAGAGAGCAATGTTCAAAAAGGAAAAAAAGGAAAAAATAATGTATGCTAAAGAGCAATGTTCAAAAAAGAAAAAAAAGGAAAAAAGAATGTATGCTAGAGAGGAATGTGTGTATTAAGGAGGACAAATACGTTTCCATGGAGCCTAGAAAGACTTGTTAGTGCAACTTGTGTGCGTGTTTGAGAGAGAGAGGGAGAGTGAGAGTTAACATAGGGGAGACCTATGTGGGATCCCCTTTCTTCTGCTCATGGTAACCACCATGTCCTCGTTCTCCACATTGGCCGATCTTGCGCACACATAGTAGCTTCCAGTTCTCTTCTTTCGAACTAAATCGGTGGTAGCAGTGCAAGCGAAGGCGAGGTTATTGTCGCAACCTGAAGAGCCCGAAGACAATCCCATGGCTTCATCACAGTCCATCACAGAATGTGGTGTCTCGCTCATCTCCTCTTCCATAGCATCATGAGGGACCAAGAAATCAGGGCTTAATTGCAACGTTTTGCAAGTCCTTAAGTAGGCTGTGAGGTCCTTGTTATGCTTCAATACAAAGTCCACCTGTTCGTGTTTCTCTAACCCTTAGCAACCAATTCTCAAATCTTAAGAGTTTAAGAAGCGTAAATCCTCTAGAATTAATCATATAATTCTCGAGTCTTAAGAGTTTAATAAGCATAAATCCTCTAGAATTCATCATATAATATACATAAATGCATTCTAGCATATATAAAAACATGCATGTACACATGTGAAGGCCCTTGTAAAGTCATAAACATTAGTTGGTTAGACAAATAATGCATGACCATACCATAACAATGCTTAAGTTATTTAAATGATTTAGATACATAGGCATCATCACCATCCTCATCCTCATCTGAGCTTTATCATCCCAACTATTTGTGGCCTGATATTTAGTTCCATAGGCATCAAAGCTCAAAAACCTTTTGGTTTAAATTTATTGTGTATTAGTGTTGGAATGGCCCATTCTAATGCACTAATTTGTCAAGAAAATTATTGAAAGTGCAAGATGTGATGTAGATTCAAAGAATAACCATGCTACAATACCTCAATTATGTGCTTGCTTAAAAAGAAAAAAGAAAAAAGAAAACAAAGAATCATGTTCATCTATATTCATATGTATCCACAATAGTTGCCACAATTGCCATGAAATTTTACTACATTCACGATATAAAAAGGTATACCTAGTTCTTTTCTTTTATTTTTTTCTCCACGAAATATATGTATGAGAATTTTATTGTTCCCCCGTCCCTATGTTTCTAAAGTTTCTTACGAGTTCTCAAAGGATTCGTTAGAACTCGATCCAAGAGGGATTCATACTAATTATTCCATTATTTTTCATATTATTCAGAAAATATTTTGGGAAGGACTAAAACTACGATTGAAGAGTCATCATCATCAAAGCCTTTTCCTGACTAATTGGGGTTGGCTACAAGAATCCTGATTCGTTAAGCCTTTTCCCGACTAATTGAGGTTGCCTACGCGAAGTCTGGTTCGCTATTATGCTCTATTAAGGGGTATCGCTCTATTAAAGGCGATACCCCCTCCGCTTCCTTCCCCCCCCCCCCCATATTTTCTGACTACTATGATTGAAGAGTATGAAACACAAATTATCAACTCTCAAAATGTCAACTAACTGTGATATCAAAAGATGAAGAGAAACGGATGATTTACCTTGCAACCAAGAGAGCAATGAATGTATGGTTCTTGTAGGGTCCTATCACAGTTAGTGCAGACATTACCAGAACCCTTGAATTGCCGATTCTGAGGGCGTTTCTTGATGAACACCACTTTTGCACTGTTAATGGTATAGGCCTGTGATATCGAAAACACGAACAAGTACACAATTTAAGAAAGAATCACAAGAAGTTTGTGTAGTTTTGTGTTATGAGTAGAACTCTAAGAGAAAAAGAAAACAACCTGAACATTGGAGCAATCTATGAGCTTCTCCAAGTCTTCAAGCCTCACAACATCATGGTAGACATAGCGCCGGACCTGCACCAATCGGTGTGCTCGGTGCGCAGGCAAGCAGTGGGGGCAAATGCTGGTACAGCAATCCAAGCAGAAAATGTTCTTCTCGTTCTTCTTTGCACTCTCATGAGCTGAGCAACCCACAAAGAATTTCTGAGAGTTCAGAGCCTCTAACCATGCAGGCTTCTGAATCCCCTGCAGAAAACCATTGCACCAGCCCTTTAAGCTAAAATTGTGTATGAAATTTAAGAAAAATCAAAATATTAATCTGGAGATAGAAACCCACCATAATTACATCGAGGTGAAGAGGTGAACCTCACGAATTTTACCTCAAAACTCTCTCTCTCTCTCTCTCTCTCCTCTAACTCTCCTCTATAGTTTCTCTCTCTAAGTGTATCTGTGTTGGAGAAGAACACGGGCTTGGAAATGAAGAGGGAGAAAAATGAGTGGGGTTGAGGGGGAGTATATAAGGAGGAAGAGCAGAAAAAAAATGGGCGAATATTAATATTCGTTGGTGAAATAGAGTACATTTTCTTAAGCGTTTTAGGGTGAATAAAAAAAGGTGGGAGATATAAGGAGAACGTGGGCACTGTTTCCATGTCTCCTATTCCCACCGTTTCCTTGGCTCGAGAGGTTCAGCCCTAAACAAATCTGGCAAAGTGGTATTCAACCCAAGAAGTCGGATTCTTAATCCCCTTTTATGTCATGGGGTGGTCTCACCAAGGTATATCACAATCTCTCTCTCTCCC